AAGGAATTGGCTTCTGCCATAGGAGCTACAGGCGGGATTTGTCAGCGGGTTGCAGCGGGGCCAAGTGCCAGCACAGGGGAGGAGAGAGGGGAGGCTGTGGGTGGGCAGCCGCCTCGAGGGGACAGTGAAGCCTATACAAGGGGGATACTGAAAGCAGGTGCCAGCATCATCCCTGGGATGGTGTTATCTCTCTAGTGGCACGTCACCCTGTGCTCCTGTGCTGGACTTGGGCCATGGTGGGACTCTTGTTGAGCTCCCACCCTACCATGGGTCAGCATTGAGCCCTAGGGCCAGCAGTGAGGACCTTAGTAAAGCACCCTGAACCTATTGCCCCTCTGCCGGGCCCCACAGCTGCTCAGGAATGAACTGGCACCAGCTCGCCAGCTGCTCTCCTGGTATGTGCAGCCAGAGCTGGAATGCTGTGCCTTGGCCTCTTCGCTGGCCTGGACAGGCCTGGCTACTGCCCAGGGCATCTCCCCTCCCAGTCTTACCATCCTGCTTGTCTTTTCCCATTAAGGAAGTGCAGGCAGCTGAGCTTTGGTGCTGGAGGAAAACAGGTGACAGCCAAGAGTGATGAAGCCAAGTGGAGGGTGGTAAGACACAGGGAAAGCTCAGAAAGCATACCCCACCCACACAGCAGCACCTTGCACTGGCATTCCCTCCACCCCTTGCTGGGAATGTGGAGAAAGTCCCTCTGCTGGTGACCCTCATGTGCCCACCTCCACCTCCCTGGTTGTCTCCAGCCCCAGAAACACTGCAGGAGGGAGATGGGGTGGTGGGAGCATTTCTGCTCTCCCAGCCCTCACTGCAGAGCTGGGCTGCAGCCAGCACTTCTATTTTAAGCCTCACAATGTGTTTGAGGAGGCGAGTGGTGTGCACAGCTGAGCCTCACAGCCCGACAAGGAGAAGCCCTTCTACCCATATCCCTGGAAACTTCCCCTTCTCCCTCTACTACTGGTACAGGCTCAGGACAAGGTGGTCCAGCTGACTTTTCCCCTTGCCAGTACAGGCAGCAATTGGGGCAGTTGAAACTGGCATGGTCTGGTGAAGTTACTGCAAAAATATCTGGGCTGCAGGAATGGGGGTCTCGCCACACACCCCTGCCCCCATCTGTGTCGTGCAGCACTCACCTGCTGTGATCTAGGCTGGCAGCAACCATGTGAAAGAGCAAGGCTGGGCAGAGCTATGCATGCAGGACTATTTATTCTGTAGGCAGTTACTTCCCTGCTAAGCTCCCAGGGCAGGGAAAAGGGGCCCAGATAGCTTGTGGGATTAGCCGGGCTGAGTGCAGGCAGAGAGGAAGCGCAGGACAAAGCATCCTTGTAAAAGGCACCAAATGGCTGAGGCTTCCCCTCAAGCAGGACTGAACCTCACTGCAGGGCCCTCCTCATCTGAAGCTCCCCTTACTCCTCAGCCAGGACCACCTTGCAAAGAGCTCCTTTCCGCCTGTGCCAACAGGTGCTGCAGGACAAAAATGCTCCCACACTAAGTGTCTATTCATGTTTTAATAGAAACCATCATCCACCACCCTCTGTTTGTGCTGTGTGTCATTAGGATGCCTGGGGAGCCAGCAGCACCCAGAGATAGCACTGGGCAAGGGGGATGCTCAGCGCCAGGCTGAGGCTGGGGACTGCAGTGGCTGGAGCACAGGGCAGCCCCGGGGCTGGCTGAAGCAGAGCCAGGCACATCCTCTTGCCCCTGGGGAGGCAGGGAGCCATGAACTGGTGCTGTGAGGAGAGACCATGCCAGAATGGCCAAAGAGGAGGATAAGAGGCTGGTTAGGGCATTTTATCCCTTTGTCTGGGGTTCACTCTTTCTTCCCAAAGAACTTCTTGAAGACAGATTTGTTCCTGGTGCGAGGGGGGCTGGTGGTCTTCTCCCTTCGTGTGTCCCGAAGGCTCCCTGTTTGGGCCACAAAGGAGTGACAGCGTGCTCGGGGCATGGCTGACACCTGCTCCCCTATGTACAGTGTGACAGAATAACTGCTCCCGGCCTCTGCTGGCTCCTTGTGCACCGTCAGTGGGGTGATCTTCTGGTAGGTGGCTGCAAGAAGGAGCAGTCAGTGCAAGGGGAAGGGTGCCAGCAGGTCCTGGCAGCCCTCTAGAACCCTCCCCAAATGGGGGCTGCAGCCAAGGGCACAGGTATGTAGGACCAGGTGCATGCTAGAGCAGCATCCTATCTGTCCTCGGCTGTGTGTGGGAACAGAGGCAGTGGTGACACCTCCTGGCGGTGACAGCAAAATCAGGACTATACCTGAGGTGAAGGAGTAGGACCTCCTCTTGCTGGCCACCAGCCCACAGTTGTCTTCTGGGCAGATGTTGTCCCACAGCCCGGGGGACACCCTGGGTGACCACTGCTGCTCCTTGTGCCCAATCCCCTGAGCATTCTCTGAAGCAAAATGGAGACATGTCACAAGACAAGACTGTCACAGGACACCCCTGTGTCAGCCCCAAAGAGAAGAGGGAAATATATGACTATCTCAGTATCCTAGGAAGTAAAGTAAATGTTCTTTTCCCCAAGTCCCAACACCTGGGACTCCTAGCCTGGATACCACCAAGTTCAAGGCTGACAGAGAGCCATCAGCCTCCCACAGCTGTCTCACATGTACCTCTCTCTGGGCTGGGGAGAGAAGCTGGGGGACAGTGGCAACCCAGCCAGACAGGAAAGTCACCTGCTGCTGCCACAGTCCCATCAACTGGGTCATCCTGGCTGCCCAGAGGCCGCTGCAGTACTGTGCTTGCACAGGGTAATACCACAATCTCCTGGCTCTTGGTGGTCATGACCTGATGATGTCCCTGGAGATGGGAGATCCCAGGGCTGGAGACCTTGCTGAAACTGAAAATAGCACAGATTTAGCAAACCAGACTTGCCCACCAATGTCCTGCTGGAGCAGCACTCACTGGCAAATGTGGGAGAGAGTCATAACAGGGTTCAGCTGGCCCGCTCCTGGCTACTTACCTGCCAGTACCACCAATGCCCTCGACATGCTGTGCTGCTGCCTGGAAGTAATCCACTTTGGGGAAACCTGGGGGCACAGCAAACATCCTACTGGATGCTGGCAGAGCACAGGACTGTGACACGATTGCACAGGACTTGTCCCTGTTCCAAGTGCTCATGCTGTATGGCTGGCTCCTCTAACCTCCTCTAGTGCCTGCTCTTGGTCCTGACAACCAGCCTAGGATTTCATAGCAGGGCTTGAACCCCTCAGGTATGGGTACAGCAACAGGAAAACCTCAGTATTACAGGTCTCCTTGCCTCAAGGGCAAGCAAGGCATTTCCAGGCCCAGAGGATATGGAGGAATACCAAGGCACAATTATAATTTTCCTGACACAGGCTTTTTGCTGCTGAGGCACCTCTGACGTCAGTTGTGCTATTCCTGATTTATAGCTGTGTATGTGGTGTGAAAACAAAGCCTCCAAATCCTGCCTGGCAGAGAACTGTTGTTCCCAAGGCAGGCTAGGAGTATGCATAAATCAGAGTAAAATGTTGTGCTGCTTCTCTTCTGACCCCCCATGTATCAAAGGGCTCAGCAGAGGCTGAGCAAATATGGTAACCACATAGAGCTGGGCCCCTGCTCTGCCTGCAAGGACTGCTCACCTGAGTTTTGCTGCAGCTTTGAGACCCATTCATTCATGAGGGGCTGGGTGGGGGCCCTCAGGAGGTATTCAGAGCCATCCTGCAGCCTGAAGGGAGAGGGGAAGAACAGTGATGTAGGGTGCAGATTTGACAACCCCCACCAGACCAGAAAAGAAGAGAAGCAGGTAAGAAAGAAAGGAAATCCTCATCTAAGCATTGAGCTGGTCCTGCCTGGTGGTGTTGGTATGTGTCTGCCCCAGCAGGCACACATTGGGGAGGGCTGTGGTTACTGCCCTGGATTGGGGACTCACTGAAGCCTGAAGCAGTTGGTCTTCTTGGTGTACTTGGCATCTGGAGTGCAGACTGCCCCAGAGAGGTTCAAGGGAAGGGCCACCACAGAGCTCTGCAGCACAAAGGAAAGCAAGAGCAACAGTGGGGTAGGATGGCTCTGTCTTCCCTGGCCGTGGGGCCCAGAGCCATCACCCTTCTGCCAGCCCTCTCCCATGTCACCCCAATCTCCTTCACCGTACCTTGAGGCTGTCTCTGCGGTCCTGGTAGAAACACAGTGTCTGCCTCATCAACACGGCATGGAAGAGGCCCCAGGCCCGGCAGCTGGCCTGTGGGACACAAGCAGGGGACAGCTGTGATACCAACAGCTTTGGAAGAAAACAGATGGTCTCATGCCACTCAAAATGAAGCCCAGCCCCTCTGAGGCCCTTCCAGAATGGCCAGCAGCACTGCCATGGTGGTTCCAGGAACATCCCTGGCTTCCCTCCATCCCCTGCTGTGTCCCAGCACCCCTGTCCCAAAGGAGCCCCACAGCCATGCCTGTACCTTTCTCCCTCCTGTTTGCAATATGTGCTTCCTTTCCAGCGTCCCCTCCATCATCTGAAACTCCATTTTACCAGGAAGGACCTGCAAAGGCACAGAGGGTGAGCAAAAACTTCTCTGGGGCTGGTGGTACCAGCTTACCATCCATGCACATGAGGTCTATATGACCTGTCCCTGGTGAGCAATGCCAAAGTGGGAGTGGGATGACGATGAGGAACAACTTTCTCACCTGGGCAGGGGCTGGGGCTGTGTGTCAACTTTAGGGGTGAAGTGCTACCTTGCTGAGGCTATGGGTTGGTGGGGGGTGTGTGCTGCAGGGACCCTAAATACCACACCTGGTCCTTCTCCACCAGCTGAAGGGGCCACTGGATTCAGGAAGTCCCCAAATATTTGCTGGAGTGGGTAACCCAGCTGCTGCCTTGGGTGTTCCCTAGCCCCTTATCTGACCCTGAGGGAGAGGCCCTGGCCTG